ATACTAGATCAGCCAGAATTTGAAAGTATGAAACAGGAGCACACTGGTCGTTTTAAACCGCCCCACAATGCACTGCGGCCCTCTGACTATCCAATAGCAGAGCTCACCAGCCAGCCGCCATGTTGCCAAATAACATTAGAATGACTACGTGGTTGTAAAAGTAATACATTTTTGCATATTGTTGTTGAATTGTATTTACAGACCTATGGTCGCGCTAGCTTGATGCTAGCTCATCGTAAGGAGCTCGGACTGATAGTATGTCGCGTCGCTTGACCCGTATTTTAGCATGTTGCTAATAACATACTAATGGTTGGGTTAGTATGCAGTGTATATATTTTGAGTATGTTGTATATGGTTTTGGACAGCAATGCACCTTAAGGACCATAACAGTGTTTGTTATTTTTTAGCACATTAATTTAAAATAACCTTAACACACTGAACACTCAACAGAATCGCAAAGCTGTACCAAACAAATGTTTGAATGAATGTTGTTGTTTTCTACTATTCTAGACAGCCACTGGTTTCTATTCATTTTGTGTAACATTCAGAGGATATGTCTGGAAGCATTCATTATCTTTTTTACGGTAAACAAATCCAATGAAAAGACCAAACTCCCCCCCCCCAAAAAAAAGCAGAGTCTGACTCTGCGTCTCAGTCGATACTGCCTAACTTCCTCAGCCTCTTTGAAGCTCTCAGCCCCAAGCCTGCTCGTTCCAACTGAAGACCCCAGTTTATAAAAAGGTCTCAAAAATATACTTGCATTCAAAATAATATTTCTTGTAACTCAACAGCACTTAAGTGTTCAGTAAACATTACCTGAATAGGAGTAAACTGAAAAAACATGTTGGGGACAATTTACAAGTGCTGATTAGACGCACTGGGTTGTAAATACATGAGGAAACAATGAGGCTTATTTTGGGTTTAGAAAAAGTTTTGAAAAAGCAATGCTTTATGCGTAGAATACTGAGTCATGTATCAAGCTTTGGTACATAGTTTGTGTTTTGCTGTGGACATTTAGTGAAGTCTACTGCTATAAAATAGAACCAGATGTAACAGGGTTTAGTTACTTAACAAAAACAAACCTCCCTGTTCACTCAAAACAAAAAAGTCTATTATTACTATCAAACAAATTTGACCAAAGTCAATGACTACCGGTCTATTAACCATATCACATATGGATTCTATCACCATGACAACAGGGCAAACTTCATTCACATATTAGGACTGTGTGATACAGGGGGAAAGATCTGGGAATATCTGGACAAGTTAAAATACTCTCTTTCTTTAAGATTCTCTCTTTTGGATTTTTGGTTCTGCTGTTTTTGGATGGAGTTTGTCCTTCATTTCCAGCGGTGGTAAAACTATCTGCAGAAATGTGCAAACAGTGTGAGTCAGAGTAACTTCGGCGTGCTGCGGAGGCTGAGTGATCCGTAATGGACAGATGGGGACGGGGATGTTTGGAGCTCAGCGGAGTACAAAGAAGGACCAGTTAAGGTCACAACCTTTTTTTGCGGAGTGCAACAAATTTGCAAGAGTTTGATTTCGCTCTGCTTAACTTTTCCTGTTAAAGGAATGAGAACTAACTTCCGAGAAAGCTGAGTCAACAGACAGATCAGCTTTAAAATAGCTGCTCACTGCGAGCAGGAAAGAAAAGCAGAGGCTGGAAAAGTAAAAAAACAGAGGGATGTGATAAAACGGAAAGAGAGGGAAACAGGGAGCAGTGAAGGAGGGAGTGGCCGCTGGAAGTGGGTCACAGCCGCACTGACGTGATACAAAGTGACGCGCGGCGAGGGGGGGGACGGACTCGCGCCACCGTCTGCGTCACCTTTTGTCCTGCGTGCACGCCAACACACACACAGGCTTTCACATTAAGAGCTCTCACATGCGGCCGATTCATTGGGTAAACAACACTTGTGAGGGGGTAAAAATAGCTCCTTGTGCGTTGCAGGACAAGGTTCCCCCCCTGTGTGTCTGCGTCTCTTTCTGTATTGTTTACTGCTCAGTTAGACTCTACTTTATTCTCGTTATCAGCCCTTAAGATTGCATTCAGGTTCTGCGTATGAAATAAAGGCCTCTCCTTGGGCGCTTGTTATGTACAAAAGGGAAGACGCAGTAGACAGTAATCATTTCGCTGTGGCTGTGTGATATGAGATGCTGTGCCTCATCTGTAGCTTCTCCTGCAGCTTCACTGGGAAGGGAATGTGAAGCCGAAGGGATGGAGGATGGATGAAAGGATGGAGGAGTGGCAGGGGGAGACAAGGAACAGTTTAATTGCCTGACCCCTCTGTCCCACCAGGATGACTCTCCGGAGCCGGGTGTTTGAGAGAGAGAGGGTGACGGCTGGGTTCTCCTTGCAGATCCCCCCCCCCCGGCTCTTTGCGTGTGTGCAGCATGTGTGTGTGTGTGTGTGTGTGTGTGTGTGTGGGGGGGAGGTGTCTGGGCGTTTTGTGCATGTTCCCACGGAAGATCTGCACATATTTAAGCAGGACCACTTAATCTTGTCATGTGTGATGCTGGAGTGATGCGCTCTGAGATTTAACATAACCCCCTATAACACATCAAAGGCTTAATGATGGGGAGAGGACGGGAGACGTAGTGTTCTGGTATGTGAAGACTCAGACTTACGGTGGAATTCCAACACTCGTAGATTTTCTAGTTCAATAGAGCCCACTTGAGTTACATATCAATATTTATATTTGATTGCTTATCTGGATTTTTGATTAATTAGTTCTAAGGAGATACAAAATAATCCTGACAGACTCTGAGGATTTTTGAGTTTATTGGATTACTGATGGCGAGATCTCAATCTCTGTAAGTAATCTAAATATCCACATTGCCAAGGAGGGAAAAAAAAAGAAAAAAAAGAAGCAATGAACATTGATTTCCCCTCCTCCCTGTTTTCCTAAGGCTCCTTTCTTTGTTGTTTGAGTTTGCTGGCGCTGACTGAAGACCGAGGAACCTTCAACCTAATCGGATTGAGATCTGGCTGCAGGTCAGGCCAGCAGATGAATCCAGATTAGAGGGTCACAAGGCAGAAAGAGAGGATTACCAGCTCTGGCCTCTGCAGACTCCTCCTCTTGTCTAAACAGTCGATTGACGGCACTGTCTGCAGCCGGCCGTGCTGTAAAGTCAAAGAGCCGGACACAGAGGACCTGCTGGGTGCTGCTGTCACTCACTCCTGTCTACCCTCAGGTCCTGGGAGATGGATCACTTTTCTACTAGAAAAGATGGCAGCGAAGTGAACCAATGAGAGAGATCTTACTTGACACTGGTTACACTTTCGTACTTGCCCATACATCTTTAAATCTACATAAACATTAAACATTTTATTAGAAGAAATCAGATGGAAAAACTACAGTTCTGTCATCTCTGGTAACTGTTTCGGACACAGAACCTTTAAAATCCCCGCAGAAAGTTAACCAAATGGTCAAGACATTCTCAGGCAGAAATCTAGCTACATGTTTTCACCTTTCTCTCTGGTCTGTTTTTGCCTGATTGTGGAAAACTAGCTTTCTTGTTACTTCTACACATGCTTCGTGTGCAAAGAAAAACTGTAAGAATTATAATCTGTCTCTGATCGATCAATGCTGCTTTTGAGCTTGATTTGATAGTGTAATTCTGCAGAATAGTGCCCCCTGGTTGCAAAAATTCAAATCAAATATTTTGCATGACTCACACAGGCCGTGTGGACTTGTTAAGGTCAGTTAAGTATAAACAAACTTAGGTCAAGCTGCCTCACTGATGCAACAAGCTGCAGTATCGTGTGTGTGTGTGTGTGAGAATGTGTGTGTGCTGCACTGCACAACATTGACTTCTCATCTCCATTTATCTCAACCCAGTGCAGCCTTCCAGTCGACTTTCTTATGACTCCCCACCACTCTCTTCTCTCCGTCTGTCTTGACTTCCCATTTAGAAAACAAAATAAAATAAATCCGTGCTCAGTGGCGTTCTCCTCCGTTAGCTGCCGGAGTGTGCTTCCTATGCTTCTCTCGTCTTTGATCTCGCTGTAAATTAAACATGCCTTTTTAGATAACAGGCTCTGTGCCACCTACTGATTCAAACTGCACCTCCACTCTTCGCTCGGCTCTCTGTCCCTGGTTTGAACTCAGCGAAGTTGATTCAAGTGAAAGCAGAATGCTGATAAACAACAGTTGGGGGAATCTCTGTGGAGCAATTAGGCCACAGTTAGATTGTTTGGCGGGCGTAAACAGTATGGAGACAGTTTTGCATAAATTCTCAAATATATCACGATTGTCTGGTTATTTTTCACAACAAGTGAGTGAGTGAGTGAGTGAGCGAGGGAGCGAGTGAGTGAGTGAGGGAGCCAGCGAGCGGGGGAATGTGGACCAAACTGGAAAGATGGCTCCAGTCAAGAACGGGGTCGAAAGTTAGGTCAAGCACTGCTAATCTGGGTGAGACCGCTGAGTGCTTGACCCTTAACATCAGGATACAACAAGTTTTTATAGCACATGAGGACTTTGTGAAAGGAACCACACATGGTAGACAGTTTAACAGAAATACACAATAAGGACTTTGCAATTTTCCTAAAAGAAAGTGGGCTCAATGGATTTAAGGGACGAGTCTTTGGTTTATGACATAATTCTTGCAAAGCCGACGACTTGTCTGTGGCTGTACTCTTCATTTTGTTTTTCCTGCTTTTTCTTTTTCTGACTGTTTCACCTCTTTTGATAAAGTGATATAATATATGATGTTCATGGTTATTTTAGTCTTCAGGGACTCATGTTCTCCAACTGACTAGAAAATGTGTCCAGTCCACACTTATTCCAACAAACTCCATGAAACTAAACATTGTACATATTTCCTCTTCATGGTCAGGGTCAAATAAGGGCGTGAAACCCCTCAGAGTGGGTTTATAGGGCTGTAAAAGTGCAAGCAAACTTTTTGAGTTCTACGTGGTCCTTTAACTCGCATGGCCATGCTCGCCTGCTTTTCCGCTCGAGGTCTTTGAGATGCTAATCAGTTCTCCTTCTCTTCTTCAGATTCCTCCTCCAACTACATCAGGCAGCTGGAGACGAAAGTGCGGATCCTCGAGGACGATAACAACAAGCTTCTCACACAGGTGAGCCACACATAAACAGACACTTGTAAACACTACTGCATAATCATCATGTTGTTGTTTTTTTTTCGCCCTGGCCATTTTCCCCCTGGTCCAGTTTTGAACTTATACCCTCACTAAATACCACTTTGGCAACTTCCAAACTTTCCCCAAACATGTGATGTGCGCTTGTGATGAGATAAAGTGGTTGCCTGATGCCTCTGTGAAGCTATTCACTCACAACAAGCCTGCCTGTTAGTGGGAGAATATGTTTATCTATGTTTTATTCATGGGGAGTCAGTAAGCTTCTGTAGCGAGCAGTGATGTTAGCCCCCGAGGCGAGCTGTGAGAGAAGAGAGGAAGGAAAAAGGAGGAGAAAGAGGCATTAAGTGACGATGACAGAGCAAAGTATTTCTCCCAAACGTTGACCTTGCTCTGACTTCTCTCCATTTTTTTAAAATTTTATTTAGGATGGAGGGCTGAGTGAGTTGAGGTGTGAGTGTGAGAAGGGAGGGGGTTTGGTTTTTTAGTCTGGTTCACCAGGAGTTCACATGTCAGTCTGCAGAGGTGTGTGTTTCACGCTCACGCCCACAGACAGTGGACTCGGGGCTCCAAGTTTGAACTGAAACATCAATTGGTCATGTTAGGGGTCAAACAGCACAACGGTCACAGCTATGGCTCCTTAATTACTGGTAAATATGTGCACATCAAAGCCTTTTTATGGATCATTTTTATCTCTTTTATGATGTGTTTCAGTTCATTTGAATGCGAGTCAGGCTGCAGACAGTCGACTTGGAATTTCACAGTTTAAAATGGCCTTTTGATTCAAAGCCTTTATTCTTTTTATAAAGTGATTTCTTTTCGCCCAATTATCTCCCAGCAGATTTATATGTAGGCAGAAGAGTGTGGGCTGAAATCACTTGTACAGAAACCTAAGTTATCCACATAATTGGCCCTTACATGCTACAGTGAGGTGCTTCACTTTTTCTCACAGCCGCCAGGACTTCAATTATGAAGGTGTTTTTTTTTAGTTAAGTAATTGTCCATGTTCACTTTTGAAAATGAAGATGTTTTGTCTTTACAGGAGTATATTTTATTTTTACAGCAATACAACTAAAAGTTGAAAGTAGAACAAGACTGTTACATTCTGAATGTACAATAATTTGTATATGACTGTAAAAGCTTAAAAATACTTTTTCTTACTGTGTCTTCTTATGTACAGTTGCCATCATTGATGTTAATAATGGCTCCCACGAGACAAGAACCTATTAATGAACCAGTACACGTTATGTTTTTCTCTCTCTAGGCTCATAACCGCTATAGTTTATCACAGATACAGACGAAAGAGGTAACTTTGTGAAATGTGTCGGCCCCTCTGCTGGTCAGTTGGTTCAGCCTCTCTTGCTTTTTCTCAGTCTTCTATCTGTTTGGTGGTGGCGGGACTTTCACAGCTTGGAGCTTGACGCTTTCCAATATGCAGACACTGGACACAATCAGAGCAACAACTGCACAGCGTAATGCACTCACTTCCTGTTCCAATGAACTGAATAATGTGTCGACGTTGACACTTTAACAAAGCTGCTGAAACAGCTCTATGGTAATATTAGTAGGACTAGTTTGGGCAATATGTTTATTCACCTTTTGCTGTGCCTGAGAGAAGAGTGATACCACTTTCATGGTCTTGTATAATGCTTTTCAAGTCTTCAGACCACTCAAAGCCCTCATAAACGAGATGTTACATTCAGCCATTCACACCACATTCATACAGGGAAGGGAGAGGCTGCTACTTTAATGGCCTAACTGCTCCATTCACACGCATTTACACCCCAGCCAGAGCAATTGGCAGTTCAGTGTCTTGCCCAAGGACACTTCAACATGTGGCTACAGGACCTGGTGATCAAAACCTGCATTTGGTGGAGTCTCTGGCAACTTTAAAGTGATGACATGACTCCAGGAAGTCATTGTACCTGGCCAAGAAATACCTCAGCAAGCCACAATTCCCATTTAATCACTTAGCATATTAAAAATGTTTTTGTTTTTTTTAAAGAAGAGAAAAGAAGATATAACATTTAAAGTTATTGAACTTTAAAGGTGCTCATTGGCACATCTTTCAATCTTCATGCTAAGCTAAGCTAAGCTACGTCAAGCAGCTATTGGTTGTAGCTTTATTTATGGTACACACATGAAAGTGGCATCAATTGTCTCATCTAACTGTCATCAGGTGAATGAGCGTTTTCTTTAAAAAAAAGTCTAAATATAACTTCGGAGCTCCTTGGTGATTTACCAAATATTTTGTGCAAAAAATAGTTCTGTTAAACAAATGGCAGCCTTCAACATCACCATAGAACTATATCACACTTGTTACAGTATCAGTATTGTTAGCCCACATGAAGTGGATTGCATCACCTAGCACAAGTGTTGCCTCTGTGTCCAGTCCCTGTTATGCACTGCTAGCATGCTAGGCTAACAATTGAGCACAGGTGGCTCTGCCTGTATGTGGCCGAACTTGGCAAGAAGGCCTCTTTCTGTCCTTGGATTGTTTTTTTGTTTTTTTTCGCACAGCCCAGTGAGTGTTGAGTACACGTTACCTCAGGTGAATGAATGCTCTGCTTGTGCCATGGTGCATAAATGATACACGCTTGTCCACGCTTGTTGGGACGTCTGGTGGGCTGAATAATTGAAGGTGGGAGGTTAACACAGGTAGACCCATGTATCAATAATGCATGGCAGACGACTGGTGTGTGGGTGCATCTAAAATATGAAGGAATGTCTGTCTGGTGTAAAAAAAAGAACTTGATGTCTTTGTCATAAATAAACTTTTTATCTTTTTATTAAATTATAAGATGAACTTAAGGCTTCTCTGGTACATAATGGAAAAAATGAGCTGGAGTTTACTTTTTAATTTTACTCTTATGCAATACTGTTCTAACTCAGTTTGTCTGACTGCTAGCAGGTGGGATTGTTACAATGAATTAGCTGCCTCAATGGACATATTGCCTAACTTCCTGTGTTATGAAACTGGCCTAGTGAAACTTGTATTGAGCCTGTAGGAAACAATAGCCTCTTATCACAGGAATGTTGACACCAGCTCTGCTAAAGGACTTTACCGTACCAAAGGGAGCAGTTAACAACAAGGTACCACGGTGAATATTAACAAGGGCCGACACCGCGCACAGGTGTGAACACAGTGAGAGAAACAGGTGTGTGCGTGTTCACGTGCACGCCCACGCTCGTGCTCCCAACATGCCCGGGCCACGATCCGCTCTCTTGCTCCTCTCTCACACGGCTCTCCTGTGTCTTTCAACCGTTACTTACTGCTGTCAGCTCAGTGAAGTGTGAGGCGCTCTGTGGCGTTCCCTACATGCTCTCGTCTACTTTGTCATTAACACGACAGTGTGACTCTGAGAATTGAATGATTTATACGATGGATTAAGATGACCCTCTATCCGTTAACTGTTTGCTAATCTAGCTCAATCTATAAGAGAGGACCGCAGCAGGGTGCAGGGAGCCTTGAGGTTAATGAATTGTGTATTACTGTGTGTCAAAGTTTTGATATGACTGATTGCCCTTGAAGAAGAAAGATCAGACCTTGCTTTATTTATGGCTGCTACACAAGTCAAGTGTTCCATTTTGCATGCTATATGAACACCAATGATTGCACTGCAAGATCTACCACTCCAAATACTAAGTTATTCATTAAATCACTGGATCCTGCAGAAGGCTGACTGGCTGTTTTTATAATGTTTTCTTGTTAACTCTTTCAAAATAAATAGCAAATATTTTTAAAGTGGTCTGAAATAAGCTAGCGTCATTCATTACATTGTGATTAAACATTGAGGCTAAAGCTGCAGCTCCAGGCAGAAAGTAAGCATCCTTACGCCGTGTGATCCATAAAAATAAAATAAAAACATTGATGTTTTAAAGCATACAAGGAGCTGAAGTGTTGTATTACAAGTAAGATAACAAAAAAATGTAAGGTCGTCCTTTACTTATTCTGCTCTGTATTCAGCTGAATCCCAGCTCTAAAGGTGCATGCTGCCATTCTCTCTTCGTTATTGTCAAGGCTGCATCACCCCTGCCCCTCATAACTCAAACAGGAAGTGATGCGTGATGCCACAGCTTCTCCCTGTCACCACCAAGAACATTGTGATGGATGTGTAGACGGAGGGGTCTGGGGTTTGGACTGCAGAGGGTCAACTGTCCCCAGCTGTCGCGCTAACAAATGGCTTTGTTTGGTCTCAGTGGTCAAGGTCAACACACGGGGCGCGGCGGTAAAGTTGTAGATGTGTGTCGGTTTGTTGCTAAAGCTAGAGTCAGCAAAACGTTTTTTTTTTTTTTTAAATCAAGGACATGATCTTTCCATGGATTAAGTGTTCTGTAAGTGTTCTGGATATGACATTTAAGGCATGTCTTGCTAAATAACAAAAAGCTTGGAGAAATGACAAAGAGATGTTGGATAACACGCAGAATGGAGGGAGCATGAATATGGAAACCCAGAGGATGGATCAAGAAGAGCCATGGGAGGGATTGTGAAAGGTTAGAGGAAACGGCAGCAGGATACCAAGCTGGAGCAGGAGAGGAGGGAGAACATCAAAGGACAGGGAGAGACAAGGGGAATGCTGATTGTAGCTTTGTGTGTGTGTGTGTGTGTGTGTGTGTGTGTGTGTGTGCGACGCAGAGAGACATGCCGCTAATACAGAGGCAGCAGACAGCGCAGCACAACGTCGCACACACCCACTGCTCATTGGGGGCTATTTATTGCCTGAGCAGTCGTAGGCGTCACGTGTGTGTTTACACGGCGCGCCCCGCACAGAGGGAACACTAATGCGTGACATGAAAAATGTCAGAAGGAACAGTGCTGCTGCCATGTTCCTGCCTGCAGACATGAGTCAGGCTGGTTACCGCCCCAAGTGACTAGTGGTCTTTAGCTGCTAATAAGGACAGATCTTCTGAACTTTGATCCTGCATAACGGCATACTATCGATGACACACAGTGGTAGAGCCCAGCGTCACTAAAGTGCCATTTATGAAGCTTGCTCGGAGCAATGGCGTGAAAGATGAAGAGAGTGCATGTGCCGGTGTAGGAGGAGGACAGAACACATACACAACACAGCCTAACCAGTTTTTAGACTGGGGATATTTGCTCATCACTGGTATTGGTGTTCACGTTAAAGTGTTAAGCACATGCAAATAAATAGATTTCTTTGTAACAGTAACGATGGAAACATTTAAGACGGTGAAATTATTCAACTAAACCTTGAAAGCACTTGTGAATAAAAACTGGTATGACTCAAGTTTGTCAAGTTTTTGTTGAAATATTTGGTCGCTTGCATCGAAGCCTCATCTGTTTGTTTTTTGTTTTTTGTTTGTTTTTTGGTGTGTGTGTGTGTTTTGTTTGTGCGATCAGCAGTGTAACCCAGGTGACCTCCGTGCCCTGAGGAAGGGGATGACCCTCTACCACTCCGAGTCCCAGCTGTCCTCACTGCCACAACGCCAGGACGCCATGCACATGGTCAGTACCCAAGAGGCTAAACAAACACACACACACACACACACACTCGCATGCACAAGGTACCACACAAGAAGGGTACTCGAGTAGAGAAACACCCACTCATTCAGTCTCTCTAAGATCAACACTGTCACACTGCTTACACAAAGGTGGTTACGTATGGAGACAGGATTTAATTTCACACACACTTAATTGTAGAGAAGACTGAGCCAGTGCCTCCGCAGCGGAATCAAGTCAAGTCAGCTCTAATTTACTTTATTTCTAACTCTCCAATTATACCTTCACATGCAACCTCACTCTCTCACAAATGACAGGAAATGAAACACACACAGAGAAAGAGAGAGGGCAGAAAAAAAAGGGGGAATGAAAGGAGGCAGGGGGTTGAGACTGACTGGAAAAAGAAAGGAGAGAAAGTAAAACAGAATAAAATGAGGATTGGAAGTTAAGATGTTAGACTGTCCCTCTCTTCCTCTCATATCCTGGCCCTTTAGCTCCCTCTTCCCCGGAGCCTGTTTGAACTGAATCCCACTATGAACGTAATAATCCTCTGAAATCCATCGCCACCCCTGACCCTGCCATTGTCTGGGGGAGGAGAGGCTGGGTAATTGTTTTCTGACTGCTTAAGGGAGGTCAGAGCTGGGCTGCGCCACTAACCAGAGGAATAACCCATCCCTGTGTATACGAATCAATATTTTGTTTTAATCACGGGCCCTCAGCGTGGGGCGTAGGTCAAGTGCGCTCAGAGTCGGCTTGCACCTTTTAAAGCTCATGGGTCAAACATGCCTCCTCGTGGAGGTTTATGCCGCTCAATAATGTCCATGAACTTTGACCCCACTTGAGGTCTCTCCTGCAGGAGGAAGGATAAACTGCAAATTAACTCGATAGTTGCCTTCTCGCATGTAATGTTACGGTGCGGGTTCACATGAAACAAGGTCATGATATGGACTTGATGTCATTCTTACTGAGACTGTGGATTTGTCTCCATTTATCATATCCAGTCCAAAGTGGAGGTTTATGCATCACTCAATTAAATCAGGTGCTTGTTTCACCTTTTCCGATGATCTTATTTGTAGTAATCTGCTTTTGCCCTTTTATAAGCTGTTTTTACCTTGATACCAGAGAAAATGTCTAACGAAAATACAAAAATATATGGACTAGTGGAGTTTAACACAGCACTGGGTTACAGAGTAAACCAAACGAGGTTGTTCCAGTTTTTATAAGTATTTACATCCAGTACATCAAATGGAACTTAGCTACCAAAACTAACCGGCAGAGCTAAAGCAGCTTGCGAGCATTCCTCTTTTCATCTAGAGAGAAATCAGAACCTAAATGATTAATATCTAAGAATCATTTATGAATAATAAGTTATTTTTATTACTATCACTATGTCCTTTTATGTCTTTTATGACGGCGTGTTGTCGTGAGAAATAATCTTGTTTATCTGTATGATGATTGATTTGCTGCTCGATAATGTGACCTTAGTTCAACCACAAAAGAAAAAGTGCTCGTTAGAAGATGGAGAAGGAGACAAAGAGCGAAAGTGAAGATGAGAGATGTGGGGCCAAAGACTACAACAGCATGTTGTATATACACATCTATCATCATCTATCATCTATTGAGTCCTTTGTCCAATCCAGGCCCCGTTTCAGGTTCAGTGTGCGAGCGTGAGATCGCCAGGAAGCGGCCGGCCTGCGTGATTCTCACAAACATCCAACAGTCAGATCTGATCCTGTATGCTGAAAAGAACAAACCATTGATTCTTACAATGTTTGTCGTCCTCCCCTCCTCATCCTGCAAGGCCCAAATCCAGCCTGTTTATGCAGACGAGCCGTCCCAAAATGTACATCCATATGAACAGTAAACATGCCTCAAGCTGCCTGCGTTTGTCTGCTGTCCAAATCTGTTTCTGTTCCACAACAGCTCGGGCAAAACAGAAACTGATGCTAGCAGGACGTGTTTACACATTTCAAATGATAGCTCTAAACAACAGAAGAGTGGTGATGGCCATTTACATATTCTTTTTCATGCAGTTGACTTCAAAGTACAACAGCATCAGAGCTGCATAACATTTGACCTTTAAACAAGAGAAAAAACTCTTTCTTTGTATTTATCATAATAGTGGTTGCATATCATTTTCTATGTATATAGAATACCCACTATTCCCTTTGTACTGATACACACTTCTAAAGAGGCACATCAATGAATTGACATGTTTTTATAGTCTTCAAGATTAGCTTCAAGTGTCATGCATAATTGTATCATTTAAAATAATGTCTTGTTATATTTTATGTACTCAACATGTGAACTGTATCTTTCTGTGTTACAGCTGACATGTGAAGTTACTTTATACCTCATTATGTGCATGTTAAACCAGAATCTGTGAAGAAAAACCACAAGCTGTCAAATTAATTATTTTTTATGCAAAATTAAAAAACAACACACACAGAAGCTGCAAGTAGAGTTTTTCAAACCTGGTTGATGAATTTCCGAGGGAGCTCAGGTACTTCTGTGCGTGCAGAAGAATCTTTTTTTAATACAAATTTCATGTTAACCTTTTCATTTTGTACATTCTTTTCTGAAACCTAAGCTCATGACGGTAATAAGTGGAGGCAGGCGACTCATCTCCATGCTCCCAGGCAGAGCATGTTTGACTTTATGAAAACCACAACTGTGTGTGGATGACAACTTTTGCAGGGAAACAAACGCAACACAACTGCTACATTTCTGTTTTTGCCTTTAGACTGTAGTCATACTGATGGCCTTTCACCTTTCATTTTTACATATTTAAGCCACAATGTAATACCTGTACATTAAACACAAACTTATGTAACAGTATTTCTTGAAGTGGATTTCAGATTTGCAGTTGTCAGGCAAAACCTGCAGAATCAGCAAACATAGTCTGTTTTTCATGAGGTTTATTTGATATGATTTAACTGTTGGGCTGTTTCCACCAAACCTCCCTCTCTGCTGCAGTGGGATTATTATTTTATCTCTGTGCTATTAGGTTGTGTGGGCTCATTCTGGCACCTAAATGGGGCCAGTGGGTGCGGAGGGAGCTGACAAGCGCATCACTAGCGAGCAGAGAATTGAACCCAGGCTAACAGAGCCACAGAGCTGTGTCTAATGCAGGGCCCCGATGCCAGGTTACACTGAATGGTGCCATTGTGTGTCCCAGAGATCTCTGTGTCCCTCTAACAGAGAGCCACTGTCTGGAACTAACCAGGGGGTAGGATGAGTCAAGCAAACCCCCAGTCCTCATCCTGGCTGGCTGCTCCCATCACAGCAGGTTAAATCACACCATGCAGGTAGCAGACCTGGCTGGGAGAGGAATGCGAAAAGGGAAGCTAAACACAGAGAAAGGAGAGGTGATGTGACTCAGGATGAAAGCGATGGCATTTTCAGTGCTGCACTAGAAGAAGTCTCTCCTGTTTAAATCAGGGCGAAAAACACCCCCTGATACTGAGAGGGGCGTTTATTTCCTGTTGTTGAGCAAGGTTTCCTGGAATTGGCTCACATGAGGAGCTACGTGAGGTGATGCTCATGTGACCTCCGGGTTAAACACAGTGACAGCAGAATTGATGAGATAAGGGCGTGACGGTCTGCAGAAAATGTTAGCCGGATGGTGTTGGTTTAAGATCTTGACTGCTTAACCTTGTCCCAGGTCATCTCTTCTTTAAAAACCTGTGCTCTTTCTTCTTCCCCTTTCAGGGAACCGGTCGTCTCCCTACCAGCGAGTCCTCTCCTGCCACAGGCTACCTGTCCTGCGTCCAAAAGCCTGAGGCCGTGGTGCACGCCATGAAGGTACTAGATTAACTCAGTGTCATTGTGTCCAGGACAAAAATGTAGTTTCCCTTCTCAATTTCCTTGAAGTGTAATTTACTAATGTCTTGTTTTGCAACTTCTTTCTGTACCGTCCAGTATTGAGTTTGAGCCCTTTTTGCCACTGCATACTCTGTTGCAACTTCCTGTAGTGAGAAATTGCTTTAGCATGCTAATCAAACTGAAGATAAGATAAGTGAAGATGAACGATAAAGTAAGAGGGGATACAATAAACTTTATTGATCTGTTGTTAGAAGTTCCCGCGTTAAAGCAGTTCAAGAGCCGGAGTAAAGAATAGAGCGATCAGGTGATATAGTGCAATGTAAATGATAATTAAATGAATCGATAAAAAAATGTGTGCCATCAGGTGCTGGAGGTCCACGAGAACTTGGACAAGCAGGTTCCCGAGGACTATGAGGACGACCTGAGCGAGAAAGAGAAGGCCATCGTGCGAGAGATGTGCAACGTAAGTGTGAAACGTTCCCTGATGATTCTTCAAATTGTATTGATGTGTTTTTCAATTTCAGTTCCTTTTTTAATGCAATAAAAAATTTTTTAAAAAAGGATCACACGAATAAATGTATGATTTTAAAGGAGGAGGAAGTAGGGAGCGCGTGAGGTGAGCATGTGATTCACCAAAGCAATTCATCTGCAGGGCTGCAGAATAACTTACACAACATGTCGGGTATTAAGGAGTAAATAAGTGAAGCGTAAGCTGGTTAATGCATTCAAGTGTGTCACACTATTTTCCATACAATATGCTCTACATTGATGTAAACAAAGGAGCCTTAAGTCCAGAAAGTTCCTGTCTGTTCTGCTGTTGGTCAGATTTTTCGTTTTTGTTCCGCTCGGTGCAAATCAGGTCAGCCTTTGAGCTGATTCCACTAATGAGGGAGCCTCATTTAGACTCATTTGGTTTGGAATGACACTTGCACTAGTGTCCCCGGCTTTCTCTTTCCTCTCAATCTATCTCTCCATCTCCCCCCTCCCACTCCCTCATCGTCCCCGCTCCACGGCCAACTCCACACTGTAAGTAGAGGCTCGTAGTTGAGCTGTCAGAGCAATTAAACCAGAGCGGCAGGGAAAAGAGCACCCACCAACCCCCTGCTTCAGCCTCACCCAACCATTCTCCCTCTGCTCTGCCCTCCCCCTCCTCTCCCTCCATCGTTCTCCGCTGGTGCTGAAAGGCCCGGTCGTAGATAAAAAAGGTCCGCTGATTAGAGAGAGAATGAGAGCAAGGCTATCTGGGCCCTGCAGAGGTATGTGACAGGCCAGGAATCTGGGGAGCACTACAATAGTACCTCTGTAATATCCCTGGGCTCCCCCAGAGACCCCTCTCCCTCACTCGCAGAGAGATCTCAGCCTCAGCAGAGACAGAGGACAGAGATTCAGAGATAGCTCTACCGTTACATGTGTGTGAGTGCAGACTCTGCAGCTCAAAGCCAAACTGTGAACATTTGAAGATTTCACTCTTGAAGAAGAAAGTCCTTTTTCTGTCTCTGCCTCGCCTCACTCTGCCTCTAAGTCTGCCTCTCTCGCTCTTCCTCTTCCCCTCTCTCAACTTCTCTCCCTGCTTTGGTTTGCAGGTGGTGTGGAGAAAGCTGGGTGATGCAGCAGGATCAAAGCTGTCCATCAGACAGCACCTCTCTGGGAACCAGTTCAAAGGGCCTCTGTAGCACATCATCCAGAGCGAGCGAGCAAGAGAGAGAGAGAGATCAGGATTTACAGTACCTACACTCACCTGAAAACACCTCATTCTACCTGCGCCTACACAACCCATCATGCCATGCTCCCTACTGCCTACAGCACCCAGCATTCCTTCAACAAAAGACTGGCTAAGAAAGCTACCACATGGACCTGTTAGTCAAACATGTTTTTATCTCAGAGCTTATGAAGCGTTGACGACTGGCAGCTAGTTTCACCGATACACCACTTCTCTTTGTTGATTTTAAAGCTTCCTGCAACACAATGATCTCTCTCTGTAAAGGCTATAAACACACACACACACACACACCCCTTTGAGCCCTTTATAGCATAGCTGTGCTACACTAAGCTAGCGATGTGACATGGTTTAAAGCACAGACCTGAAGAGGCTGCGGGGGCAGAAATCTCGACACTTGTTGCCAGGACGTGAAGGCATCTTCAGATACGTCTTGATAGTACCTCCTGTAGAGACCCTAGCTCCTGTCACATGTATTGCCCCCTAGTGGTCAACGCGTATACCTAGCATTAGCATTCTAAAGTGTTAAACCCACTGTGACCTAGCGCCTTTTGCTCATCAGACAAGTCTATGGATTATAAAGTCTAGAGATCACTGTTAACTTGTGTATATTATGTATAAAACCATAGCACTACTTCATTGTTATTGTTGATTTTTCTTTTATCTATTTTGTATTCTAGCGTGGCCATGTGATCAATTATTTAGTTTGAATCGTGGACCTTAAACAGGGTTTGCTTTTGGTTAAAAAAAAAAAAAAAACACCTTTTTTTTTCTTTTCCTGATTAATTGCTATTCTTCTTTTTGTCTGTAACCTCTGAAAATGTTTCACGGCCATTCTGAATCAAACCATCTCCATGGGTTAATTGATAGATCATTTTCTTACTTAATGAAATTAATTCAAATTGTATGCTGTGTGCATGCTTGACAATCATTTTCTCAGGTTGGGAGGGCTACAGCTTTACTTTTGCCCATGTGTGCGTGCGTGTGCATGCGTGTGCGTGTGTGTGCGTGTGTGTGCGTGTGTGTGTGTGTGTGTGTGTGTGTGTGTGTGTGTGGAGACTGAATGGTTCTCTTACAGCTGTAGCATCAACCTGTGAATCCTCTTTTTCTCTCTTGAACCCTGGTTACAACTCTGTTGAAGACTGCTGAAGGCGTTTGCTGAATCCATACAAAATGATGATTCCCAGTGATGATAAAATCATAGATAAATATAAAAGTTCATGGCCAATAGCTGATGTCTACCTTCAGTTTGTAAGGCTTTTTTGGATCACAGATGAAAAACAGTCACTCCACTTAAGCACAGTCCTTTTCTCTGGTCTTGGATTCAGCAGGTGTGTTTATGCAGCGCATGTTTCTTAAAGTTGAATTTTGTTTCATAGAATATGAGAGATAAGTCTTCCCTTAGGTGTCTCCTGAAAACACTAACATTTAAAAACGAGTATTTCTTGATGTCAGAATGAGCAAACACTGTTTGTCAAAGTATTTATTGCCGGGTGTTAGATAGAGATGGGAGCGCTATCAGTGACTAATCAGTCCTATTTTAGATTGATCAGATTGACTGAAGCTGTAAAGATTTTTCATAGACACGTTTAGTGACTGAAAGCTCCAGCTCTCCCATCTCTAGTGTTATTTGTTCCAAATTAGAACATTTTAAGGCTACCTGCCATGCACCTCTCTTCTTTCAAATGATGGCTCAAAAATAAATCAAAGTATGGTTTTTTTAAAGTGTCCTTTTTTCTAGGAACTAATTTGAAGCCATGAAACAATTTTGAATACTTTATAAAAAAAAAAAAGGCATTTGATTTAAAATGTGCCACATTTTTTCTGCATGGTGTTTTGATTTGGAACTCAGCTGTCTTTTTCATTTTTTAACATCTAGAGTGTTTCTTTTCTTTCTGCCTAAATGCTAAAACCACAGTACCGAGTCCTAGAACCTACAGAGTAAAAGTCAATTCCTGTAGTGACTAGCATGGCTGTGACTTCATTTTGTGAACTTCACTGATGAGAGGAATATTCGGCAGGTGAAAGAGGAAATGAAATAGGCCACTTTTAGAAAAATTTGGGAGAAAATAAACAAAGTTGGTTACCAAAGCTGTGCAGTGTGCTATCTTTATTTGTTGCTGTCAACATCTCTGCAGACGTGTAGTTCTCTTCAGTGGGTGAGTTAGACTGCCCTCTGGTGGTACAGTACTGGAAGTAAAGCTACAGATTTGTAAAGCGAGCACTCAAATACTATCAAAATGAAAATGAATGAACTATGAAAAAATATCAACAGTGTTTAGATTATCAAAAGTATACATTTGTCCTAAAGGGTACAGGAACCCCGCTAAATATGACATGTTACAAATGCTACTGATCTTACATAATTCAGCAATAACAACAAGTCCACGGGTAAACAGTTTGATGGCTAAACTTAACAATGGTGAGTTAACAAACAGGTGGAAAGTTAGGTTAACGTAATGGATAAGCATAATCGTTTAACACGTTATCAGGTGCAGGAACATACCGTAAAAAAGAAATCAAGACTCCGTGGCACACTGAAAATAACGTCACTGTATTTTATTGTGAGCGAACACTGCGTCCAGTGCTGGGCGAACCTGAGGAAAGCGAACAGGCGAAACGAGTTGTTCGCTCACAAAAGACAGTGAAGTTATTTTCAGTGTGCCACCGAGTCTTGATTTATTTTTCATCAACAAGCAGTCTAAATAGTAAACTAATAAGAAAAAACAGATCAAATAATCATAATTGTTCTATGGTTAATAAAAATCAAATGATTTAAAACTTGAAATTGTTAACTATAGATAGTGTATTAAGACTAGTATGAAGATTAACTTTATTAGACCGATGCGTTTCATACTGCAAGTATGTGATTAAAAGTTTCAATGGTTAGCTTGAACTAAGAAAGTCTAAAGTAAGTATGCTTAAAGTCATGGAAAACATTTGTAATAGGTTAGCTTAAATTATTTGGATTACTTCAGGTGTCAGGAGTGTTTAGGTAAACAAGAAAAGTGTTCTGAATCACTGCTGCACATAATGAATCATGATTATTTAATGAGAAATACCTTACCTCATACAGACTGAAGAAGCAAAGCTTGATTCAAAGTAGGAAAAGCTGCTTTATTGTCCTAAGTGCGACTCAGACACAAACCAAAGCTGCGTGCAGGATACAGAAAAGAGAAGCCTGGCTAAGGCACATATGGATAATAAAACTCTCAAACAAAGGACTCTAACTGGAAAGATCAGATATGTACAAATATACGTAAGACTGTCCAGTGTTAGACATGGTTGATAACAGGCTTGTTGTTCTAAAGTTCATGTACAGATTCACTAAAAAATGTTATTTCCTTTTATAACAAGACGACTGCATGTCCGATCATCTCATGTGTTACTGCACTTCGATTTCTCAGCAAAACAGTAGGAATGTGGAGAAAAGGATAGCAGGGAGAGAGACACTTATATGAGCGAGTGTTTATGAAAATCAATCAAAGAGAAAAACAAACACAATCAGGCCAACTGAATATAGAAAGACTCCATCTTTGAACTCCTAAAGGTTAAGTAAAAATTGTACATGGCATCCCCTTAAACTGAGTGAAAGAGTGTGTGACTAAACAACACAAATAAAAAGTTCAGGGTTCAAACATTTCCGGGTACATTTCCAGAATAACAAACAGCCGACAGTCTTTGTTACAAGTTCCTGGAACTGGGCACAATAGTACCCATCCTGTACATGTTTGAACTATTCATTCAAAACTGTTATGTTTTCTCAACGGGTCAGGTTCTACTGATAACACCACGCTTGAGGTTATGAGAACCTGACCTGGTGAGACCCGTCCAATCCTCACTTTGACGTTGTGAAGCCTTCATGAAGAACCTCGACAACAAAAGTCAGCCTGGAGCTGATCAGGCTCTCCTTCAGTTCAGTTCCTGCTTGTTCTTTCTTTACAGCTGCAGAGACTCAGTTCAGACTCTGTTGTCTCATTCTCATCTCATCCAACCCGCCACGGTTCAGGGGCATGCCAGGTGGAGGGGGCAGCGGCACCTGTGACTGTCCTGGAGGACCAGGAGGTGGAGGAGGGTACCCGGTAGGTGGGAGACCGATACCTGGAGGAGGCACATGGCCCGGCGGCATGCGCGGAGGTGGTGGAGGATAGTTGTTGTAGCCTGGTGGGGGATACGTGGGTGGCAAGTTGGGCGGTGGATACGAGGATGGAGGCGGTGGAGGGCCTGGAGGTGGTGCTGCAGGCGGTGGGTAGACGTGGGGGTGGTATGGCGGTATAGGGGGAGCATAGTTAGGAGGCATGGGGGCGTAGGAGGGAACCTCTGTCTTCATCATGGACTGCAGGCTCTGGAAGCCTTCTCCAGACATGTAGGAGCTGGTGGTGGACATGATGTAGTTGGAGGGCGGAGGTGGAGGAGGGCGATGGGGGAGTGGAGGGGGCTGATGTGGAGGTGGGGCGTGCGGGGGTAGAGGAGCTGTTTCACTTCCTGGTTCGGCCTCTGTGGGAGGGGCTGGAGCTGCGGGTTTGCGATCTGGTGAGCGACAGGGAAAAAAAAGAGAAAACAGAAAGGTTACAAATTTCGATCATCACTCTCTTAAAAACCTGAGACCCCCTCAGACGACTATGATCTGGAACAACCTCTCCATTCTCAGACTGTGAGCGCACAGTCAGAGCAGGACTGCCAGGCTTCAGCCACACAGGAGGTCTCATTATCAGGCTCAGGCTCTAATCAGATTGGTCTGGGAGAGGTTAGGAGTGTGTGTGTGTGTGTGTTAGGAAACATTGTGTCCAGACGAGTTGCTAGTTATGTAAGAAGACTAAAGACTTAATATTGCTCTCTAAGCTGGAGTCCCAGGCAGGGGGGGCTGGCAGAGTTTTAATGGGCATTTTGGTGGCACACACAAACAAAGTACCAATGCTCTAACCGTAACACTAAATAATTCAAACTGTATTGATTATAGACTAGAGGAGGAAGGAAGGTGGCGCTCACTTTTACCTGGTGGAGGCTGTGATGTGGGCAGGGGGGGCATGGGGCTCTCCAGTCTGGGAATCTTTGATCCAACTTGTTCTGTAAATATAACATAAAAGACAATAAGACTTTTAAAAACAGTGAATGCATTCAGGGACTTTGATAAATAAAGACTTGAATTTTCTTAAAATCCTAAAACACTTATCACCTGCAAAAATAAATGTAATAAATTCAAAGACGTTGTCTAAATGTTGTCTTAATGTCCCAATCATTAGCAGACTTTACTCTCAGGAATAGATTTTTAACATTTTAACTGATTGTAAACTCTCAGGAATAGATTTTTAATGGCATGAAGATCTTACCTGGAGCCTTTGGTTCATCTTTAGGGGATGTCTGAGAAAGGAAAAAGAGAACTCTAGTTAAACAAATGAACAAAGCATCTGGTGAATATTTTTAATAAACTAATAGGGGAATTGAAACAGATTGGAACAATTTCTCCACTGGCCATTGTTTTGTGCCAAACAGAATATTACTCACATGTGAGCGTTTGAGCTGGCGTGCAGGGCTGCCTCCCTGAGGGGAAGTCTTCTTTGGTGGTGGGGGAGGAGGGTTGGCGGCTGGCGGCTGTCCCAGTGGGACCGGGGGAGCGGGGAGAGGAGGAACAGAGGCCCGCTCCTTCTCCTGGATCTGCTGAGGGATGGGCTTGTTCCCCTGGGAGTACAGGTCCAGGATCTGGTGGCAAATGTCTGGAAGACAAGGACATGTTTGACATTGAGACAAGTCAGGAAACAAGATGGAAGGGGGGGGGGGGAGCGGAAGAAGTGATACGGCTTTATGATGAATACCTTCAAGCAGCTCCACTGGGACGTCCTGGACAAACTGCTCCCACCAGCGGCGAGACGATTGTTTGGCTGTCCACTCCTGGATGTCAAACTTACAAAGACGGCCAGCCAGGTACATGACAGCTACAGCGATAATCTCTGGCTCCCACTGCAGAGACAGCATGGTGCACAGGCTGCAGGGACACAGGAAATATACACACAGCCTTTTCTCAATTATTTAAAATATAAGGAATCTATTCTCTATTTTTTATCCTGATCCTTAAAGGACATAAACATTTTCATTAATCCATCTTCATCAATATTATCATGAAATGAATCGTTCAAATAAGTTTGTGTTATTTTCTGGTTAGAGACCAACAGGAATGTGGGGAGCAATATGCAGAATATATGGATCTGCAACTAAAGGTACAGACTTCAGCGTCAGGAAAGCAAAGAGATACTAAATAAATAAATGCTTTCAAGATTAATAATCAGAATCAGAATCGGGTTTTGGTGCTTAACAATTAACAAGGAAATAACGCAGAACTAGCAATAACTTAAATAATACAGTATAAGAAGCTATTAAAATATATAAAATAAGCCAGTTAAGAGTTTGATTACGAATTGCTCACCTGTCATTGACAAAGGTCCATGCCATCTGCAGCACCTTGCACACTTTATTCTTCTCACCTTTAACAAGAAAAAAAAGATCCATAAGCTTTCCAGATTCCTTAAACTATGAAGTATTAAAACCCCGCGTGAGGCTCTTATCCCATCTCACCTTTCAGCTGCTTGACGTAGCGCAGCAGGAACATGTAAGGGTGCTCCACCTGCAGGTCAAATTTGATCGTCTGCAGCAAAATTCTCTCCAGCACCATGACCTCTTCCTGTAGGAATAGATAAAGATAGCTTGATTATCCCTGATGGTGAGATACAAGATTCTGTTCATTTGTCCTTTTCCTTATGTATCTGCACACATTAAAAAGACTAAATGGTGCACGATGCAGCATACAGTTAGCACCACAGCCATTCAATGAGTGTCTAAAGTGACTTAAAGGGCAAGTGCAGCTTATGTGCCTCTGATACTGATTAGTGTGACAGAGGAGGGGGGACACAGTTTGTGAATGACCCTGACAGCCTGTGGAAAACAACTGTTGAGCATTGTCAAGGCGAGGCAGAGGGGACACTAGGTAAGACGACAACTTTCCACCTCGCAGAGTGTATTCCATCTCTCTCGCACTTTAAAAGTGAAGATGTGAGAGCACTGCCATCACGTCTATGATGCAAACACTAAACTCTAAAAGTTAATAAAACGTTGTCTTAAAACAAACAGAATGTAAAAATATACATTTAAAAAAATGTGATATCTTGCTATTATATCATCTTTCCAATTTGATCCAACTACCCAAAGAGAAGATAATAAACACACATTAAGTTGATCTTAATCAAAGTATTTTTTTCTCAGTTGGATGAGAAAATAAGCGTGTGCTACTTGTCCTTTTTCTGAACAAATTGTGTACTTCCATCACATTGAAAGTTAGTTGGAGACACGTCTAGTGTGAGCTTGGTTACTTTGCACTCAGTCAATGAAAAGTGAAAGTTGTCAGTCAGGAGGTGAAATCCTGATGTTTGTGAGAGCAGTTCAACAACAATTAACACTGCTAAACATTTTCCATCATGTTTTTTTCTAACTATCTCTGCATGAGATCCCAGGGCTCTGTAAAGCAGGTTTATTAAATATTGGGTTTTCTTATCATTTACCTTACAATCACCACTTCACACAGGGAAACTGTCTAAACACAGAGGAAAAATAAAAGGCATCGCACCTTCGGATCGTCTCCAAACTGGGCAAACTGCACGTCATTTAATAAGCTGCGAGCGGTTTTGATGATGTCTTTACACTTCTTTGGGGTTTCTTCCACTTTCCCCGCCAGGAACAGACAGCAAGCACCCGTCACCTGTAAGACACAAATCCAACCATCAGCCCCACACGACTAATCCATTCCAAGGAACAGGAAAACGCGAGGATATCCGTCCACTGAACTTACATATCTGGGGAACTGCTTGAAAGAGTGGAACATGTAGAAACGGTGGAAATATATGATGCCAGTTGCGAGTGTGTCATAGTGTCTGATGACAGTCAAGGAAATCCTGAGAACTGTTTACACTTATTTACTAAATTAATTCTTAAGATATCAGCAGCTATGGAAAATAAAATGACTTCACTTTCACCGATCATCTATGACCATTACATGCAGTAACCGACTGGTGGTCTTATTCACATGTACATGGATAAAACAGAGTGGTACTATAAGTGGGGCATTCTTCTCTCTCTATATTTTTCATTAGGATAAAATGAAAATGTAATGATTTGTTTACTGATGCTAAACCCAGTGTTCAGATATATCAATCTATTAAGGATACAGGCCAAGTCTGGTCCCCACATCGAAAATGAAGCGCGCTCCTTCTCTCCGATACCGAGCCTCTGTGCCAGGATCCAGGCCCTCTGACTGAGAGGGCGTGTGGGCCAAATCCTTCTTGTCCCAGTACCAGCACGGCTTGATGTGGTCCAGCATCCCTTGGTTGGTCATTGAGTAATTCTCCTTGGAGTCCTTCATTGGCTGAGGAGAGGCGACAGAGGATGGACCTGCTGTGCTGGGCTGTTTAGATACAAAGCAACGACAACTCAAATGAAAGTTATTCTCAATTACTGTTAAATATAATAGCAGCATCACAGCCTGATGCAGTGGTTACCTGATGCAGTGGTTACCTGATGCAGTGGTCACCTGATGCAGTGGCTACCTGATGCAGTGGTCACCTGATGCAGTGGTTTATTCGGCCAACTGTCAGATAGTCTGACTCTGTAGTTCACATTTGGTCGTTTCAAATAAAAGCTTGCGGTGATGCGATGTCAAATTCAGTTCTCTTGCTTAAGACTCAAAGGGGAGAGTTCAAATAAAGGGTAACTGGTGACAACTCAGAAAACTTGAGCCACACGTAATATCTTAACGTAGAATTTCAGATGTATACAGATACAATCAGCCTCAGCAACTATGACAACGTTAATCTGCAAACCATGGTGGAGAGATGGGTCACAGTTTGCCCAACAATACTTTCCCCATGTCAGGTTTCTGACGAGGTCACAACGTAACAGAAGAGGGTGTACTTGTTTTACGCAGAACATTAATATCAGCCTTACATATATTATCATTATTATCAATGTTAAAGAGAATCTGAGAGCAGCTCAACTTCAACTTCTATAATGATCATAATCAGTCCTCCCCGTTTCATGATTGTGACAGGGGCTAACGTTGATATTAGACTGATCAGTATATTATCATACTTAGCTTTTTCTGCTAATACCACACATACCTTTACCATTATTACTGGCATCGTTGCTAAATCTATTTTATTCATCGTTGCTCATTCTCCCTCTATCCCCTCCCACTACAGTTTCAGCAGATGGCTGTTCATCATGAGTCTGGTTTCCTGACTCTTAAAGGAAGTTGAAACTGAAACTTAAGAACTCGGTCGACTTTAAAACCATTCAAATCATGTACAAAGTTAAAAAATGATCAGATACCGAACAGTATCCAAAGGTTTTTTCAGCAGAGGGACAGTAAACACAATCTCAGAAGAATGTTAAAAAAACAAAACAGCAATAAGGACCAACATGAAACTACACTGTATTACAGCGAAGGGTGTTAATTTATAGAACAGCTGCAGTGATGAAATGAAAACATTAACACAGTTTAAACACATGTTCAAGAATAACATATTTAACAAATATAAAATTGAGCAGTCAATGGGAAAAATTGAATCAATATGAGTTGTAAGGTCTGTACCGTCTACCAGTTAATGTGTGTAATACATTATACCTGTTGCTTTTGTTACTTCATTATCTGTATTATTCAACTTTATTTTTTAAAGCTTAGTCTTGGATTCATTTATTAAGCTAAAAAGATAAAAAGGGGTAGGACGTGATAAGTTATTTAACTTCATCCTACACCCTTTTTGAACATGGACTAGTTAAGGAAAAATAATCAAGCCACTGCAGAAAGTATGCTTTGATTGCTGTTTGCTTTGTTTGTAATGTATATTTATATTTTATTTTTAAAACATGTTCGAAATTAAAAATAAATAAATAAATGAATGAAAAGTTTTTTCTTTTGCAGCTGTAACTTTATAACACCTTGCTGTGCTAGTGATGGATTAATGACTGGGTAGAGTACGTCATGTGTCTTGAGATTAGATGTGTTATATAAATAAAGTTTGATTGATTGAACGTACAGACACTTAATATCTGCACAGCCCACCCTGTCACTTCATTAAGTACAGAGCATGCTCTCACTACATGACATTATGAACATTGAATATGGGGCATGGTTAAAACACAAGTATGGATATATAAAAAAACGAGGAAGGTTTGAGGAACATGAAGAAACATATTTAAGAATATGAAGCCAAGAGAGTAAGCTCTTAAAGTTACCGCCATGAAGCTAACGTTGCCAAATAATCGCAAACGCGAGGATATTATTGTGTTGTATAACTCTGAGGTAAGATCAATGTAAACACTCTGAACGAATTAGTTTGTATGTTTGAGCCCAGGTGGTCAGAGTTACCCAGCAGACAGGTGAGCCTCTGTTAGCAGCTTTGGTTAGCTCGACTCGAGGTCTGACGTAGTCCAAACTCACACCTATCATCTATCCGTCTGTCTGTAATGAAACACAACTCTTACCTTTAACATGAAGCCGATACAATAAATACACCAACACGGACAGTCGAGGTCTTAATCCGCAGTTATTCACCATGAGTTGGCTAAAAAGTGATAACCAACAATCTCCATTGTAACAAGGGCACCGCCATTTTGGCGTACGTCACAGAGACTGTTGATGCAGACGTCATTACGCTAGCCTTTGACGCACGTGTGCTGTGGTTTCATGTTAGTTATATCTTTTCTCGCTGTGGTTAATTTGTTCAAAGCTTAAAAGTTATTCTCATGCTACAGGAAAATGTCACTTAAAAACAGCCACTGACATTTTTTTTTAAATTTTGCTGTAACATGTTATTTCAGATTATATCCACTAGAGGGAGACAAAGAACAACACATGGACTCACAGGGTCACTATACACATTTTTACATCCAATATTGTTGACCAGATGACTCACTAGAAATTAATATGATCTCTCCTGAAAACGTTATTCTTTTCTGATCATTGCTTTAAAGTGCAGATCAGATAAAAGAAATGTAAAAAAAAAAAATTATTCACATGATGAATGATGCACTTTATAATGGGTTTTGAAGCCTACCTGTTTCTGTTTAAAAAGACTGCTGTTCTGCGCACAGACTGCAGGCCTGTATTTTACTCAAATGGTTTCAGCACTGAGGCCAGTGCATATATATTTATTCCCCCTTCATAAATAGAAAAAGATAATTATTGCCATCCCCTTAATACAATTTTGGATGGTAATTTGTGAGGGGTGCACAATTTTATAAAACAAAAATAATGATTTAAAATACCAGAACAAACACAAAAGGCAGATAGCTGGATTATCTCTGATGGTTAGATCACTGCACACCAAGCAGAGGGGACACAGCACTTGTTCACTTGGCAGGATATCAACTTTCCACCTTGCAGAATGTTTTTCATCCCTCCCACACTTTAAACGTGAAGAATTAAGAGCGTTGACATCACGTCTATGATATCAACTGTTAACTCTAAAAGTGAATCACTGCATTCAGTAGTAAGCAAACACAAAAGGCAAAACACCCCAAAGATAACTGGATTGGGAGACGTTTTATTTCATCTGGTGAAAAATGATTTGAGAACCGATGTTATGTGATGTGTTTGTTAATGGGTGAAGATATTAATACAAGAAATGAAATCAGTCATAAAATCTGTTTGTTTGTTCTTTAATTAACAAACCAGGCCTCTTGTTTAATATAAGAGCTACATGTATTTTCATTTGTCTCCATTAAAAAAACAATAATAATAATAATAACAGTAAGATGCAGGATATAAAAAAATGAAAAGAAAACCTGCTGGAGTTACACAACAAGGTTACAATGCTGAGCAGCTGAATCTGACATTTAAAAAAAAGGAAATGATCACTAGATAAAGCAAAATAATTTGTTTTCTCACTGAGTCATCTAAATTAATTTGAACACCTCATCCTCATCACCTTTGTCTGAATTATATGTTTCAGCGTATAAGAGCAGCCTACATCTGAGTAACATCGTGTGCCCTCTTAGTTCCCCTGCCAGCATCACTTCTGAGAAAAGCCAGCATTGAATCATTTACCGCGTCCAAATTAAAATTTGGAATCTGCATGCATTATATATTCACCCGTGCTCGGACAAATCCTCTTAACTGCTGGAGAAATTGTCAGGATGTGTCCTGTAGAAAAGTAAGAGCCTTGTCTCGTTGTATTGCCCGTAGCAAGGGAGCATCTCAATCTGTCACTCAAGTCCACACACACACACACACGCACACAGTCATACACACACACTACAGTAAATCAGCTTATGAATAATATATACTTGTACTTTCTTTATTAATATTAAACATTGCATAATGAAGCACAGACTATAAGCAAATCCCAGAGCAATATTCATATTACCATGAGCTGTCCTGGAGTGGACCTCTCATTGTTTGTGTCAGTCCTTTTGTGGTTAAACACATCAAAACGCCAGTCTTGGCGGACTTTTACACTTAACCTCCAGTGCACAAAAAACATACTCTTATTTTATTTCATTTATATGCAGAATATTGGTCTATTTTAAGATACAATTGTTCTATTCTTCAGAGATGGGAGGGACATAAAGAATAAATGATAAAAAGATGTGACAAAGGTTGTGACCCAGAATCAAAGTTCCTTGTGCTTTTGTCTACTGATGTGCAACATCGTCTCATGACTTCACAGAAATTATAAGAGTTCAGAAGCTACTGAACTCCTGGGTCATTTTTTGGGGGAAAGTTGTAACATGGACAAAGCTTTCATCTCAGCATGTCCTCATCTCTTGTGTAGGCATTGCCCTGCGGTGCGTTCAGGGGATCTCCAGAGCGACGCTGGCACTTTACCACGCGTGCTTGTCTCCTCAGAGGCAACACTTTGGACTTAAAACCTTTCCTGTGTCCACAAGCACGGTGTTTGTGGTATACTGGCCTTGTGCAACCCAGCTTAAACTGCCTTTGCCCGCAGCCTGCAGATACAAGCTATAATGGAGACATTGATGTATTATTGAGAAACCCATGGGTGAGGATCAAGGAGCTGCTTGCAGGCAGCAGGGAGCACAATGTGTGTGTGTGTGTGTGTGTGTGTGTGTTTGAACTCAGGATAATGCTTTCCTTCAGCATCCGACGTGTCCACGACTTGCTGTTGCTCTCTTGGCCCCCTTTTGCAGAAAAAAAAGAAGACATTTCATGTAATATCACATAGCGAATTTATGCTCTCCAGTCAAAGCAATATGCTTGACAACATGCTGGCCCTGTGTGTGTACAAGATAGCTGTTGTGTGTAGTGTTTCCATGTGGAGTCTGCTGAGGTTATGTCTACTTGAGCCAGAGCTGAGATGACATTTCATTTATATAAATAATTACTGTCCTGAAAGTCCCCTAGGCCTGCCCCGAAGCAATCAAACTTCTAATGCTCTTAAAATTGCCCAACATGTTTTATTAATGGCAGACTATAAAATGCATATAGCTGCACACTTCTCTGCTGATCCACCAGGAAACAGTGTGGACTTTAAATGGTCGTATTAGGCTGTGTATTTTTATTCAACAATGTATTTCACTCAAATTATAGCACAGCGCAGGTTTGAATTGTATGCTAAGGTGAAAAAAGGAACTTAGTCGTGTTCTTATCTGAGCTATGGCTTGTACAAAGCACTTAACTGTGCACACACAAATGAATACAGTGAATTATGTGCCGAATGATTGCCCATTAGAGCCATTAATTGCCTCTGAGTGAACCTGATCCGCTCTTCAAGGACTCTCTTAGACTCTGAATTGTATAAATGGCAAATTAAGGAGGCTTCATTCTAAAAATAAGAGTAAAACAGTGTAAGTCTGCCTGTGTGTGTGTGTGTGTGTGTGTGTGTGTGTGTGTGTGTGTGTGTGTGTGTGTGTGTGTGTGTGTGTAAGGTATCATCCTCTGAACAGTTTGTTATGTCTCCTGACTGTGCCAACAGAGGGTACTGTTGCCTCACAACATGTTTAAATGATCCAACAACAAAGATGCAGCCTGCTGTTTTAACCATCTGATTTAATGTGAGTAAAAAGGTGTGTGTAATATATAGGAGTGTTATCTGGTCATTTAAAAGTCCAGAATGTCACAATAACATTATAGGTTCTGTCCAAATTATAGGTGACCTTTAACCCTGATTGACAGATATGTTCTCTACAATCTGATAGGTGTGTGTGGTCCTGACGTTAAAGGTATTTAAAACGTGTTATTTCTTGTATTCTAAAAGGGGGGGAAAAAAAGTTTCAATAATATGATTTAAAAATAAAAATGGGGGGGGGGCATGGAATGGAAAAACAAGATACCAAAGGAAACAATGTTTTTTTAGGTGCTGGTCAGACCAGCAAAGTGGTTAAAAGTGAGTGTAAGAAAAGGAATTTGGCTGCACGAGAATGTGACACATGTAAGCAACTGCTGATAAGTTATCGACACTTTAGTGTGTGGAGGAGCCACGCGCAGAGCTCCGGGGAGCCTCCAGTGTCCGCGTGCTGACCGCTGGCTTCTTCCCCATGCTTGTTGTGTCTGACGCG